GAGACAATGTATAGACCGGCAATCGGGCCAAACAGCCTGCATGCCGTATTCGAAGTACCTTTTTCCCCCGCAAGGATATCCACAAAGCCACCTGGAGATCACCTGACCAACACACAGAAAACCAAATCGATCACGTTCTAATCGACGGGAAATTCTTCTCCGACATTATCAACGTCCGCACGTACCGCAGTGCAAACATAGATTCGGACCACTACCTAGTTGCAGTATGCATGCGCTCAAAACTCTCGACGGTTCATAACACCCGTTGAAGTCGAACGCCGCGACCCAACATTGAGCAACTACGGGACGCCGGAGTTGCCAAGGACTACGCGCAGCAGCTGGAAGTTGCACTACCCACGGAAGAGCAGCTTGGCGCAGCTTCTCTTGAAGATGGCTGGAGGGACATTCGTTCAGCCACAGGAAGTTCTGCTGCAGAGGCACTAGGTACTGCAATCCCGGACCGAAGAAATGACTGGTTTGACGGCGAATGCAAGCTGTTAGTAGAGGAGAAGAATGCAGCACGGGCGAGAATGCTGCAACACCGCACGAGATTGAATGTGGAGCGATACAGACAAGCGCGGAACAGACAAAACTCGGTTTTCCGAAGGAAGAAGCGTCAGCAGGAAGACCGAGATCGTGAGGCGATGGAAAATCTGTACCGCGTAAACGACACACGGAAGTTCTACGAGAAGCTAAATAGGTGTGAGGTGATTGAGAGGTGGAAGCAGTACTATGACGAGCACCTCAACGGTGAACCAGCAGAAAACGAAGGTGGCACGGCAACACACCTTGGAGCACGCGCAGAAGGCGACAGGCTACCGGCCCCTGATCTTCAAGAAGTTGAGGAGGAGATCGGTCGGCTGAAGAACAACAAAGCAACTGGTGTAGATCAACTACCAAGTGAGCTATTAAAATACGGTGGTGAAGCACTGGCTAGAGCGCTGCACTGGGTAATTGCCAAGATTTGGGAGGAGGAAATATTACCGGAGGAGTGGATGGAAGGTGTCGTATGCCCAATCTACAAAAAGGGCGACAAGTTGGATTGCTGCAACTACCGCGCGATCACACTGCTGAGCGCCGCCTACAAGGTACTCTCCCAGATTCTATGCCGCCGTCTGTCACCATATGCAAGAGAGTTCGTGGGGCAATACCAGGCGGGATTCATGGGTGCCCGCGCTACCACGGACCAGATTCAGCAGAAATGCCGCGAATACAACGTGCCCACACATCATTTGTTCATCAATTTCAAATCCGCATACGACACAATCGATCGAGATCAGCTATGGCAGATTATGCACGAGTACGGACTTCCGGATAAACTGACGCAATTGGTCAAGGTGACGATGGACAAAATACATGAAAGGAAGAGGTTCTAGGGAAGACAATGTTAGCCTCCCACCCCGAGTTCAGATTGATGGTGATGAAATCGAGGTGGTCGATGAGTTTGTGTATTTGGGCTCACTGGTGACCGCCGAAAATGATACCAGCAGAGAAATTCAAAGACGCATTATGGCAGGGAATCAGGCCTACTTTGGACTCGACAGTCAACTTCGCCGCCGCACGAAGTTGACTCTCTACAAGACGCTGATTAGACCGGTGGTCCTTTACGGCCACGAGACCTGGACTATGCTCGTGGAGGACCAACGCGCTCTTGGTGTTTTCGAACGGAAGGTGTTGCGTACCATCTACGGTGGAGTGCAGATGGATGACGGAACGTGGAGGAGGCGAATGAACCACGAATTGCACCAGCTGCTGGGAGAACCATCCATCCACCACATTGCAAAAATTGGGCGACTACGGTGGGCTGGGCACGTCGTAAGAATGCCGCACGACGACCCAGTGAAAATGGTTCTAGAAAGCGACCCAACAGGCACAAGAAGAAGAGGCGCGCAGCGGGCAAGGTGGATCAACCAAGTAGAAGGTGACCTGTGGACCCTTCGCAGACTACGAGGCTGGCCAAAGTGTGGCCATGAATCAAGTAGAGTGGAGATGACTTCTTCGGACAGCAGAGGACAACAAGGCGTTAGCCTGATTGGTAAGGTAAGTATAGTGATGATTCAGGTCCATAACGAGTGGCCATCAATCCGTAGATGAGCTAGGTAAGAACGGTCACCCGGATGATTCTATCAATTTTTAACTGCAACCTCCTAACTGGACTTGTTATTTTTTTTTTATTTTCTTCTTTCCTTCAGAGTTAGTTCCATCAGTAGATGATCTGCAACCATACAATGTTGAGAAGCTTAATGGCTTTGTGGAAACGTTGAATTTATCTCCAATTTCATCGAGAAACATGAGGAGCATGGATTATCGTTCAAAAAATCTCTAGAAATTACACAAGCAGTGTGAAAAAATATATTTGGCCTAGATACAGCAGTAGAGGCATACGAAGAAATGATTGTGCAGCTAAAGGAGAAGTTCAACTCCCCTACAGCTGACAGAAAAGATCAGATAACAGTATTATCAGTATTGCGAAAGTCTTGGTTCGTCAATAAAGTCGTAACAGAATTTAACGCACCAACATACCTGGTGAGGCAGGTGAAGAGCCTTGATAATGAGTAGGGTATTCTAAGCACACCCAACAAAAGAAGTGGGAATGAGATCAACGATGATACAAAAAACAATATTCTAATTCAGAAAAATATTTAACTTGATTGGAAAAAGGAAAAAAATAGCATTTATGAAAATAGGTTTAAAACATTGAAAATATATAAATAAATGATATATGAAACTCTTTTTTCACACACATATTATCAGATTTTTCCTCAGTAGTAGACAACAGAATAAGGGAATGATATTTTTTTTGACAAGGTCTACACGTCCAGAAAGTTTTCTTGAACTCTGAGAGGGTGCTGCCAATTTCGAATACGATTTGGCGAGAAATGCATCATGAGCCCTTTTCATATGAAATTCTCGATTAATCAAAGTGAACTTAAGTGCTGATTAGACAAAATTGAATCGCAAATTGAGCTTCATTGGATTCTGAGATGATTTTGAGCTTCACTGGTTTGGCAAATTAAAAAAAATCAGTTCAAACATGTAAAAGTTTTTGTTAGAATTTTTTCCTTAAAAGTGCCCATCTCGTGATATATGGACAGTTGGTAGAAAACATAATTACCTATCTTGAGACAAAGTTCAATCCAAATCAAAATGGCAATTTTTTAATCAATGTTGTTCAGTGGAATTTTTTTTTATTTATTTTTTTTTCATTAATTCGGACAATTTCTTAAAAGTCATCCATACAACACATTTTTGTAGAAGTTGTCATTTTTCCATAATATTTTTTTGAAAAAAAATCGGCAAAAACAGTTTGGACCTTCTCAAAGGTTAGTCTAGATACATTTTGGAAAAACTAAGTATATGCAAAGTGGCTTATGTAGTCAAGGTCCACACATCCAGAAAGTTTCATTGAAATCTGAGAGGGTGCTGCTAGCTCCGAATTTGATTTGGCGCGAAATGCGCCAATTACCTTGAAATTATTAAACTGCCTTTTGATTCTCTTATCTGTTCAGATAAAAAAAAACTTACCTGAAGCTCACAATTATGCAATATCTTGGTTCTGCTCTGATATAATGAACTCTCCTAAACTCTTTTAATCTTTCCGGTAGTTTTCAGAACCTCTGTGAAGGTCTCGAAATATTTCTGAAGTTTCCATAATTTTTCTGAAGTTTTATAAGTTCTCTGAATACTTGGGACTTTTAAAAAGTTTCCACAGTTTACCTCAAATTATCTCCACGTCTCTGAATTTATTTTTACTTAGGTTAAGATCTTTGAATATTTTTTAAGATTCCAAGAACATCCTAAAAGTTCCTGCAGCTTTTTTGAAGCTAATGGAACTTCTTTGAAGTTCTTAAGGCATCCATGAAGTTAAAAACTTGCGTTATGTTCAGCAGCGTGTTTATGAATCTTCACTGAATATCTTAGCATTTTATTTCATTCCTCAGATTTTCTGTAAAGTTCTTAAAATTGATGCAAAGTTAATAGGACTTTACTGAACATCTATAATCTTGCACGAAGTTAAATGCAAACTTTAAATAAATCTTTTTTCTTTTCAATAATTATGGCAAATTGAAAATTTTGAATATCTTGAACCTGTACTTGACATACGATACTTCATTGAATATATTGAGATCATCGACTTAGTAAAATTTAGTAAACGTTAAACTTCGACATTTCATGGATTTGATTGTAGGTAAAACTGTTTCTTAAAAACTGATTGTCATGTTTTAAAAACGATTTCGTTAATGGCAGCGGTTGTTGTTTACCAAAAATGTTATATATTTACCGCATTTGAAAAAAGCTTTCTTTTTGTAAAACTCTGCCAAACTTCTGGAAAACTCAGCGAATTTCATTTAGCAAAATGAGAAGACACCCTCTATGAATATTTAAGCAGTAGTCATCCATAGAATGTGTGCCAGAAAAAGTTTTAATATATTTATTCCTCAAGCTTGACTGCATTATTTTAGCGTACATTAATTGTGCAGTTAAACATGACATCGACCAGTATATAAATACCACGCATCAGTGCAATAGACAATATATTGGTTGGCATTGACGGCAATCGAATGTGCAGGAAGGCAGCTTCCACACCTGCGTAGGATATCGCACCCATTCAAAAACATATGAGCCGGGACCAACGGCTGTACTTCCCTTCCGAAGGAAGACGTGACCAGAGATTTGTATGCCTCAGAAAAATCCCACTGACCTCGGCTGGGATTGAACCAACACCCATTGGGGTGAAAAAGCAGTCACGCGTACCACTACACCACCAGCGCCGGCTAACATTTGAAATGTTAAATAAATTTGGAAGCCATCTGTAATAATAACATTTCGTTTGGTGCTTAACTACGCTAGATTAAGAAAGACTTAGTGGGGGTTGTGCTTAATGGGAATGGGGCTGTTAACCCTATTGAAATCTGGCAAGACCAAATCCATATTATAGGACTGTAGGATTGTAAAACCTTAACTCATGTAGCTCAATCAGTTCATTTGCAAAAACCTACCTTAAACATGAAGTGTTGACCCTGTGCCTCCTGGGGCGAGCTACCGCTCTGATAGCCTGGACTAGGTGATTCGGCGTTCTCCGGTACGGGTGTGATGTTGGCGTAGTTGGACGAACAGGACAGCAGACCTCGCAGCTGTGATGGCGTTCCCGGGTGCTTCAGTGACGATTCGCTGCCGGCTTGCGTTAGCGCTAGGATCGACCGGTCAATGTTTTGGTACTCCTTACCGGATCGAGGTCGCAACGTGGATGTTGCCTGTCGGATGTGCCTGTGTGATTTATTTGGAAGGGAGATGTGCGGGAAGTTTAGAAATCTGAAAACAACTAAAAACTAGCAGGAAGGCAGATAATTTACCTTCCTTCGGGCGTATCCGACGAACTGTGACTTGATAACGACAGCGTTTCTATATAATCGGACATGTCGGAAGTGCCACTGCTAGTACTTCTGGAATCGATGTATGGAGCCGTGGTTGTTGCCATATTGTCTGGACTTCCGTACGTTTTCGTTTTCGGTGGACAGATTGGAACTTCTGCTTCGGCTGATGTGCTCTTTTCCGGAACGCGGATCTTTTGGAACTGGAACGATAGTTCACGTAGTGGATCGAAGGATTTTGACCTCCGTGGAAGTGAAAAATGAACGCAACTCTGCTGCGGTAGTATATGCCGTTGGTGTCTTCGAGCGGACATGGCCGTGGTAAGCGGGAGTTCAAATTCCGTAAAGTCAGTACCCCGCTGCCGCAAGGATCCTGTGGAAACACCCGAATCATTCGAACTTGAGCTGTCACGATTTTGTGCCTTGCAAGGTACACTCTCCGATCTTCGGATGTAGACGGATTGGGAGTTTTGACTAGGGTTGGTGGAAACAGATATATCGTCTTCCGTTTCGACAGGAGCCGATTTGTCACAGCATGTCGGGCCGGAACATGGTTCCATTTCTCGGTGAACGCAAGGTGAAGATGATCGCCGAGCTTCGATGTTACATGTGGGTGTGGCAGGTTTCCGTAGCGTTTCCGTACTTGGGGATGCGGTACCACTGAGAGGACTTTCAGCTTCTTCACCTTCATCTAGGAAACGAGAAGACTCGGCGGAAGCGGATCGTTTCCTTGGAGATAGCCTCTTATCACACGGGAGTAGATCACTATGATCTAGCAACTGTTTGCGAGTATACGGACTGGTAGTAGCTTTGAGCATGGCACTTCCTGGAATTCGTGATTCGTCGTCTATCCGCTTACGGCTCCGGTCAATTGCCGGACCACAGAGACTAGGATTGCTGGCAGACTTTTCACCGATTAATCTACTCATTCGTTGTTTTAGAAGATCTGATTTGAAAGGAAGCGGTGGAGCTGTTGGAGATGCTGGTGGAGGATCTGCGTCGGTTGTTACCGTAGGAGCTGCAGGAGACATGGGTATGTATCCTGGAAATTTCGATTTCATATTTGCGGGTTCCATCATCATGTAATTCTCCTGTTTGTCCGTTGCTTGGGGTTCCGACTTGGCACTGTCGGCTTCTGGTGTTTTCGTACTGAGATGACCACATTTATGGCAAACTTTCTGTTCCTCTTCGAAATCATGCACCGAGAGGCCAGCTCTCTGAAGTACTTCTTTGGAATTTTCGTAGTTTTCAAGAGACTTTTCAAACTCAAGGTTCATGTAGTTTGCTTTCTGTTCTTCTGGAATTATCGCGACATCTTCGTAGTTTTCATCGGAAGTACTTTTCATTTCTTTTGCACTTTCACTATCGTTCTTATCGCACTCACAACCACCTTCCAGTCGTTTTCTGATTTTTTTGGTCATATCTACAGTTGCGTAAATAGCGTTTTCTGCACTCGCATCGACTACTGGCATTTTCCCTTCACCACTTAGCTTGACCTTATTGATCTGTACACCCGTATTTTCTATCCCACTTCCTCGTTTGCACAGTGGTAATGAGATCCAGTTATCAGCCCACGACATTACTCTATTACAGGTACAGTCGACTCGAGGGCCCTCCAATTCCTTTTCCAGTTTGGGTGCAGTTTGATTCTCGCTACCGTTCAAACAACCACAGACGGCCTTGCTTAACGACAAAGGGGTATCGTAGTTTCCATAGTTACCTACATCACTCTTTCCACTGCTGATCGCCTCCTTTGACAGGTACTCTTGTATTTTCTTAGGTGTATCGTAGTTTTCCGTCGTGCTACCGTTGTCGTCAATAGCAACAGGGGTCTTTGGGATGTCATAGTTTTCATAGGGACCAACGTGGCTACTCGTCTGTGGAGACTTACAGGACATCATGGCGGAATGGAGAGGAGCTGTTATATGTAGAGCGATTTCTTTGGGTTTTGGAGGTCTACCTGGAGGGCAACACTGACATGGGGACGTGGGTCGATTCTGCATACAGGTAAACTGCGTAGCGGGGACCTTTTCGTACCACGATTCAGGACCCTGCTGACTGGGAGGGCACGTTTGCCGGGGGATGGAATATTCTGAATTATTACTGCTACCATGGGAGCACAGGGACATCCTATCTAATGCTGGTGTTTTTGAAATGTGCGATTGATTGATGTGATTATTGTGCTCGGTCATCGTGTGCCAGGCAGGGGTCGGCGCCACAGCTCCGGGAGTTCCCGTCACTGTGGAACTACGGGACATCGATGGGGCCCCCAGCTTGGAGATGCAACTCATGCAGCGTTCCAAGTTGGCCACGGTACTCCTGTACGAATAATTCATGATGGTGAATGTTGTGAGCTAAAACCAGCTCTAAAAATCAATACTTACCTTGGAAATAAGTCCATGTCATTGATACTGTCATGTCCTTCGGATACTGAAGCCGTATCACCACAACCATAGTTACTGTCCAGATCTCTGGATTCCGTCGACGGCCAATAGGCCGTCCTACAAGCGCACGACGAATTTTCTATATGCACCGTACAGATCTCGTCATTGTAGTTTGTGCAGCGAGATTCTGCACCCTTTCGAGGACTTTCCAAAGCTGTTTAAAAGTTACTCATACAATAATATCGACAACCAAATATTGCATAAATCTAAATATACCTGCAAGTTTCTTGGCAGCCGCCCGCTTCTTGCTGGCCAATTTACCCTGTGATGCTAGCTTGAACGTGTGGGTGATTTCATCACCCAGATCTGTTACGAAAACGTAAAGACCTTCGCCCTTCCCGCAGCTCGCGCCGCCCTCGAAGCAGAACCTATTGTCAACGACTCCGTATCGTCTGTGGGAAACGGAATTTGTCAGATATTTCGGGGGATCTCCTTGCTGGGAAAACAGTCATACCTGAGATGTTGTATGTTCCACATTCCGGTTAGTCGGGGTGGAACGCCAGTCGTCAGACAAAACCGATGATCTTGGATGTGCATTCGCGCTGGTCCCGTCGCCAGTTTTGCCTTGGGGGGCGCCGACGAGACCAGCACCAGGAATTGTATATCTTCGCCTAGGTTGTTGGATATTTTGACCTGTTTGCAATGTTTTAATGTCTTAGAACCTGGATAGTTGAAATTAAGTTTAAATACACGTCGAAACCCTACCTGCCACTGTATCAGTCTTTCTCTGGTGTCAAAAGCGAGTACTACTATCACATCCTGGCAGATTATTGCTATCGTGTTGGATTCCTTGTCCAGCGTGAAACCGGATTCGACGCCTAAAAAGTGCTGCAGCGAGAGGGATGCCTTGGTTGTTCCATTTTTGTAGCGATCTTTAGAGTCTCTGTACAGTTGAAGGTGGAGGCAGTCTGTGAATGGAATGAAATGGAGAGATAATGGATGGTTAGATGAGGGTTTGTTGATAAATTCATGAACACTGAGGATCTTGAGATGTAAAGTTTGACCAGCATAAGTTAGTATGAAGTCTGATCACCATGTATATGATGCTTTTATTTTTTTAAAGATTGTGCGGGAACCAAGTCCCGGTAAGGTGACAGATAACCTTAGTTTCACGTACCCACTTGCAAATAACGGGTGTTCAATAAAAAATTAGAATTTTTTCAGTCATAAAGCTAGTAAAAAAAATTCAACAAATTCAGTATTTTATATTAAAAACATAATGTTTATTCCTCAAAAAACGTCAATGAACATTGGAGAAGGGGCCCTGGTCAGCCGTACGACGCAACTTAATCGCGATGCTCTCACAAGAGCGCTGGACGGCACTGAAATCATTCTCATTTTTTATTGAACAGCCGTTAGTAGATGTCGCCACACGACGTATACAAAGGAATTGTTCTTCACCGCCGCAATTTTCTCTATGGAAAACCAACTTTTTGTTTCACCATGTGTGGATGCCAAACAACAGACAAGAATGCCATATGAAAAAGGCTAATTTATGATTTTCTTGGTGAAATTAAATAAATCCATACAAATTGAACCGATTTTCCTTTTTTTATATCATTGAATAACAATAAATATACTTTGGTTTTTTTTCTGTAATTTTTTGCTCTTGAATTTGACTATTCTTCAGATCATTGCTTTGAGCATAGTTGTGAAATAAAGGCTTGTGCTGGTCTCAAAATAAAAAAAAAATGTTTACTCTCTTCTGTTTCTCTTACGGGGTAAGTAAAGTAAACAGCTGAAATTGCAATTGCATGATATATTACATATTTAGCTTAAATGCTTGCCTTCGAAAGACGTACAATGTTCACCACTGTACTTTTTTAAGCTAGTACCTCAGATTGAACATTTTGCAGTTCTAGCTGTGTACAGTATATTCCTACTCCGGATTTCCTTAATCCGACATCACGGTCTCTTAAGGAGCTTTTTTACATTGGTAACATTGATTTGCATGGATATGACAGTCAGATTATCAGATTAGGATTAGCGGGGAGATAATGTGATAAGTACGCTCTACTCGCTGTAAAACCATTATTGTTTGTTCATCATCCACGATAATAGCAATAGCGTCAAAATTACCAATAGTATCTTCGCTCAATTCTCATTTGTTTCGATTAATTCGATGACAATCACATATTTTCGTTTTACAAATCATATGTTTAAAATATTGGTTCTGTTCTGCTCAAAGACACATGAGACAACAAAAAAAAAGTTTCATAAACTGTTTATGAATTGTGCATACGACTGATAATCAAAACGACATTTCTCGCTGGCATCACAGGACTTCACTAATGTTTGATGTCGGACGAGAGTTCCGGTTTGGTGGGCCCGACAATGAGATGAATTTTAAGCTAGGATTTTATTTATTGTACATCATTTCCATTTCCATACATCAACTTGTGAAATTGTCTGTACCACCAGCGCCAAATTGTCGGGGTGACAATATGCTAGAGTTGTCAAGTTGCTAATCGACAACTAACTAGCTTTTTTTATATGCTTAGAGTTTCCTTGTGAACGCATTATTAAACTCGACATAACCAATTTAACTAATTACTTCAATTTAACTTATAGAATATTAATCGATTGGTATTTTCAAACCATAATCCGACTACTTAATGATCAACTTATAAAGCAATTTATTACGGAAAGATTATTTTTATTTTTTTCCTTGATTTGTTTTCCGTCGATCTTGTTTTCCGTGCTGAGCACCAATGCTACCGACGCCAGGAAGGCAGCTCTCATACCTGGACCCTACCTATCGACCCATCAACTTATGAACCGGTGGCTAACGGCTTTACTTCCTTACTTCCTGGCTTCGAAGGAAGGCGTGATCAGAGATGTTATGCCTCAGAACATCCCGGTGGGGCTGACGACTGGGATTGAACCCAGGCCTGCTGGGATGAGAGGTAATCACGCTTACCACTACACCACCGGCACTGCTATAATTTTGCATTGAAATACTTTAAATCATGTTAAATTCAAATGTTCCCTCATTTCACATCCGTTGAACCATTCTGAACGAGATGTTGTGTTTATAACACATTATTGCTAATAATGTATACATCTATATCTTTTCCGGTACCATGGAGTCATCAAAATAAAAGTGAAAAAAAAAACTGCAAAATGGAGCACATGCGATAAGACAATGGAGTGATGCTCGTTGAGAAAATACCCGGAGACACTGTCCATTTTCCGCATTGGTGTTACGGTTTGGTAAGACGCAACTTGGAACTCAAGATCATCAGATAAAGATAATAGACGTCGAAATGTTGTAGAACACATCAGAAATAACATGGGAAACTAGTAGCGACTAGCAGTGATGTAGAGAAGGACAACGAGTTCATAAATAGGCTCGAAAATTGGAAAGAAGGGTAAAGAAACAGCGGAAGTTTATGAGATCGTTTTAATTTTTTTAATTTTTATTATTGCTCATAAATCCAAAACAATGCTGGGATCGGGAGTGATCATTAGGGCACTCGATTGAAGTGATTTGGACGGGGAGAGTGATATTGTTAGCTTCCTGTTGTTAACATTTCGTGGTAAAGGGCGGGCTCTTCTTCACACTCATTGGGGTATTCTTCTGTCGGACGGCTCGTTTTTTGACCAATTTTATGATCATGTGACTGAAAGGAGATTCTCTATCATCCCGTGAAGGCGTATAGGTGAATTTACCTATCAATTCATCAAAACTGTTTTTGGCCCTTCATACAGTGACATCAGAAAATCCCAACGTCACTGTTGTGAATGCGATAAATTAGCAATAATTGAAGAACGTTCTCCAATCACCCAAGACGATGCAAAGAAGTAAAAGTTCAAAGTCAAATATAAACAGCTGTTCTGTTTCATCATCCCTTCGCTTAGTCAGGTTCAATGAACACGAGAGCAACGAAAATGACACAATATTATAGGTCAATTCTATGTAATAAGAGAACGCATATGCGGTACACTCTCGTTTGCTCAGTAGGATGTACCCAACGGGTGCATGCAGCATAAAACAGGCAATAAACTCAGCATAGGGAAATTATACGCTTTCACCAGTTTAGCTTTGGTATAGGCGCTGCGTAGGAGTCAAGTGCATCCTAGACGTATGCATACATGTGAGATTATTCTGGAAGGATTGCGTTGGTCCCAAAATGCATCACATGATCTTGAAGGAGAACGATGGATAAGTTTAGATCAGGAATACTTTTTGTCTCTTTCATTCTTATCAACATTACGTTAGGAAGATCTTAGCAGGAGACAAATCTTTCTAGGCTTAAACCCCTATATAAGGCAAATTTTCAACTTAATAAACTGAATGTTTTCGTTAGTCTTAAAACGTCTGTCGATCTGTTAAGATCCGAATTCCTTCCAGCCAGTACCTTCATCAGGTTTTAAACTAAGATTACTGATGAGACCAGAATCTCTAATTTAGTGAGAAGTTCAGTCCTCAGTTACAATCAAAGTCCAAACACCTGATGCTAAAGGCACTCCTTTTCTTTCTATCAAAATCTGAACCACGCTATTGTAACAGTCTCTTAATTTAGTAGAGTAACTGTCTTAGCGTCTTGAACAGTTCTTTGATAGAATCGAGAAAAAATAGGCACTCGCTCCAGCAGTCCCGGCAGGGCAACGGTGTACCATCCAAACCGTTCGGCGTGGTAAGTAAACCTTCGCGTGATTAAACAAGCTCGGGACAGCTTGTTTTAACTCCTCTGCCATCCGTGCCGAACATTGGTGGCTCCAGAGAGGAAAAATCCTCACAATCATAAGTGGATGGTGTGCTCGACGCCAAAAGAGCGAGCTGTAAAGTGTACGGTGTAAGTTAGCATCGTTGTAAGTGCGCGACGCGGTTAAAACTACGAGCAGAAGAGTTCGTTAAGAGGTTCTAATCGTAAAACCACAATTAACAAAATAAGTGTAGTCGTGTGCTGAAATCTCACGAAGCAATCGTGAGGGTGTGCTCGTTACCGAAAAGAGCAATATAGAGCCGGAGAAAAATTGTGTGCTTGTTAGAAAATAAAACGGTGAGTTACACGGGCAGTGAAAATTGCGTTAGAGCCGGAGAAGAGCATGCTTACCTCGAAGTAGGAAGCAAGCAGAACAATTATAACAGTGAATATAAGTGATCTTCAGAGACAAGAGGAAAACAACCACAATCCGTGGTTGACAGGTAACACCTTATTTAGCGGAATAAACCGTAAGTAATACCTCTTATACATATATATCCAGTGAACTAGTGCAGTTAAAAAAAAAAAAAAGATTTTACAAATGCTTGATTTGTTTGAAGAAATTAATTGTCTAGCCGAACGTTTTCGTGAAATCGATCGACGACTAGAAATTGCCAAAAATTCCAGAAGGTATAGAATCTGGATAGGACGACCTCTGCAACCAGGGGTAGTTAGTGAGACCAGAAGTTTTCCACTCATACTCTGGCCTGATTCTAATAGGGAAGAAATTTATCGTCAAAGTGTGACGAAGTATACTAAAATTAAAAATTCAAGAAGATAATTCAAGCGTTTCATGATTGCACCAGTAGCAGTAATAATTCTGAAGATTGTACTGTTAAAATAAAAGTGAAAACTAGTCGATTTTGAGAGCCGAAAGGGCCGATCGATAGTTAAAACATTGACTTTGAGAGCCAAAGAAGCCGGTCAATATTTGTGCAGTTAAGTGCACTGTTAAAAAAAAAGGTGAAAACTATTCGGTTTTGAGAGCCAAAAGGGCCGATCGATAGTTAAAACATTGACTTTGAGAGCCAAAGAAGCCGGTCAATATTTGTGCAGCTAAGTGCACTGTTAAAAAAAAAGGTGAAAACTATTCGGTTTTGAGAGCCAAAAGGGCCGATCGATAGTTAAAACATTGACTTTGAGAGCCAAAGAAGCCGGTCAATATTCGTGCAGTTAAGTGCACTGTTAAAATAAAAGTG